TGCTACAAGAATGGATTTGTGTGGCACGATCTGTCCGAGGACGATCTGATCTACCCGGCGCACGGCCACGAGTACGTCCTCAAGGGGTCGGAGCTCCTCCAACCCGTCTCCTCTCCCAGTTCCCAGGACACCATTGCCCCATTTTATGCCTCCGACAAGCCGCTGCCGATCCCCAAATCCGTGCACGAAGATCCCGAAATCTTGCAAATTAGGAAAAAAAGGGCGCCTTGGAGCTCCCTCGACCTCAACGAGTACAAGGTCTACAAGACCGACCTGGCGGTGGAGACCGGCGTCAAGGCTGCGGACGCGTCCACGCAGACCGACGACGGGAGGAGCAGGCACCGGGCCGCTGTTGCCAGGGACGACGGGCGCCGAGCGGAGATCCCGATGGTGGAGGAGGCCGAGCCCCCAACCACCGAGCTGGAGCGGGAAGAGATCTCTCCGCCGCCGTCGTCTTCGAGCCCGGAGACCCTGGAGATACTACTTAAGGCGGACGTACGGGCGTCGGCTTCCGCGGCCACGACTGTGGGGCTCGACGACCACGACCCTACGGTGGGGGGCTATGCAAGCGGGCGGATGCGAGCGTCGGCGGTGCTGATGCACCTGCTGTCGTGCGGCTCCATCAACGTGAAGGACCATCACGGTATCTCGGCGTCGCCGCCGTCGTGCAAGGAGAAGGTTGCGCCACGTGGAGGGTCCGATTTCGGCGGCGCGAAAGTGGCGGACGGCTTGATGGAGGGCAACAGCTTCTCGCGGATCAGGCTGGAGGATAAAGAGTACTTCAGCGGGAGCTTGATCGAGACGAAGAAGGGAGGCGACGGCCGTGCCGACTTCCCCGGCCTGAAGAGGTCCTCCTCTTACAACGCGGACAGGTAAGGCTTTCGTCACCTCAGGGGTTCTTGCACACATCGTTTCTATAACAAATCTGCATTCTTGCTATGATTATTTGTTAATTAATCACCAATTTATTGAGGTAAATGATGTTCTTCGACCTGTGCTGTGCTTTGTTTTCGTTCAAACTGACATGATTGATGAAAACGTAGTCATGAATCGACTGAACACTGCTCATCTTCCTTTTCCTTCCCAGTTCTCGATAGCCATGATTAATCTATTTTGGACAAGACAATTTGCATTTTGAGTTGGCTAAGCAGCGTTGTTAGCTCTTGGGATTAATCGTGCCAAAAGCATACAGTAGATTGTTGGTTGGGTAGGCAGAACATGTACTGCACTGCTAGAATGGGTTGGGCTGTGTTAGAAAGTTGCACCTTTTACTCTCATCCTTTTCGGCCACCGCTGCCGGGGAAGCAGGACAGCCTTTTGCCCTGCCGGGTAAGGGAAGGGCCTGAAGCTACCACAGCTGGATTCCCCTGCTGCAGTGTCAGACCAGCCTTGTCTTCCATTGTGTGTTCGCCTTCTTCAGGTCTTTACCACTGCATGAGCCCTTCCCTCATTGAACGCTTGGTCATTCGGATGCTGCCCTTGTCGTCATAATATCTTCACATTCGTGGTCGCAAGCGAAATTTACCTCGTCATCTCACCGTGATGAAGCGAGGTAAACTTCTAATCATCCATCCCATGCTTGCTTAGCAATCTCAATTTATGTTCGAACAAACCCTGTGAAACAGAGCTCTTCCGCCATGACTCCAATTTTAATCCATGATTGCTTTCGAATGGTAAACGACGTTGTTCATTAACTGTGATGGGCGGTGCTAATCGACGCTTCTAAATGTGAGCAGGTGCTCGAAACTGGAGCTTGCGGAGAAGGAAATCGAGGGCGTCCGTGCCAAATGCATCCCCAGGAAGCACAAGGCCGTGGAAAGGAGAGAGGCAAACGCACCAATCTCGCGCAGCACCCTCGGAAGCAAGCGGATCAACGATGAACCCCAGGATGAATAATAGTCTTTGGAAGCTAACGTAAGGAGAACGAATCAGTAAGAGACTGCGTCAGCCTAAAAAGCCCCAAAGAACAATAGAGTAAGAATCTGTTCTGCAACCGAGGAGGAGCATTCGTCTCATGTATGTGAATGCTTTCTTTTGCCTTGCTGATCAAGGCACGTTGTTATGCCAACGAGAGAGGCATTCAAGGAAAAGCAACGCAGTTTAGCTCCACGAAACCTCTTATTGCGTGTGTACTAAAAACAAGGCATCGAGAATCACTAACTACTTCTTTGACTTGGTTAGTGTTAGTGCATTGTGACTGACGCTCTCTCTCTCTCTCTCTCTCTCTAGTTATTTAGCTAAGTCCCATGGGCTTACCTTTAATGGCATATGTGACCAAACACTGATGCAGGATGAGAACGACTCACGGCCTACGACGAGACCCACCAGATAAAAACGAGGGTGTTTCGTAGGGTCTTCCTCTGCTTCCTCTTTCCTCTTGATTCATTCGCTTTCATGTTCTTCCAATTCGCCCATTCACTGTCTGTGTGTTGACAGAAGGAGCACAAGTTAGACTTTTGCTCACTTTATTCCTAAATATAAAAGTCAAGGTCAACTAGGGAGACAAGGATAGGAAGCCGAACATTGATCGGCCTGTGGTGACTTCGTTCGTTGTGCTTTCTCGATTGCCTTGGCTAGACACACTCTAGAATTACAACTAATAGGATCCCTATATATTGTCGAAGACTAAAAAGAAATTGGAGTTTTGGTCAACAAGAGATGGTTGGTTGGCAGTATGTTTGTGTAAGCAGCAGGGGAATATGATATGTACAATATATATATTGTATTTATTTCATGACTATATACAGCAGAAATGGATTCCCCGTAGCAGTAGTTGACTTGATAAAGAATGTCTCTCCTGCACCATATGGCCCCGTTGACATTCCCTGCTACTAAATGTATGGTTCAGAGCAGCAAAGTCAGCGCAGAAGTTCTCCTCTCTCTCTCCATTTATATTCCCCTTGACACTAAGTCCTTTACACATTTAGCTGGCCCACTATCTCTTTCCTGGATTTAGTAAGCAGCCTCAGCTGTTCTCTGCCATGTTTTAACTCCAAATCGTTGGCCCTCAGGAGCAGAGATGGATAATATAGACTCTGGAATCCGATGGGCATTAACAAGGTTGGGGTATACCCTAGAGACAAGATGCACTCAGCTGTTGTAGCTTTCCATCCATCCAAAGCAGATGAACTTCCTTGATGGTGACTCGAGTAGTACCAACAACTAGCAACATCAGCAGTGAAGCCGCGCCAGCCAACTGGTCGTGATATAAAAGATTAAACTGGAAGTGACGCACCTCAAGATCATACTAATCTACTCTCAGGTCGGCGATATCGTGTGGTTCATGTTGTGTGAGTTCCTGGAGTTCTTGCGTCAGTTGGGTGTCTACGTTCATCGACAAGACCACTCGATCCATATAATAAAGCTTTTGCTTCTCTCGATGTCCATTGGATGGATTCGGAAAAATTGCGGCACAGCTGATTCTTTCCGGAGGAAGCGAGAGTACCACAAGTCATCTGCGGCTTTCGGTTGCCTTGTCCTCTTCCTTAATCTATAAATTGAGAAGCCAAGAAGTGCAAGGATCCATCTCATTAGTTAATGAAAAAGAGGAGAGTGGTCGTTCCTGCGTTCTGATTCGCCTGCTTTAAACACTCAAAACGCAGCTGCTGGTTTCTGCGAGAGACTTGCCTCGTTTGGAACAGGTTTGGGTGGAGGCCAGCACGTCCAGAACGACAAGGACATGGACCAGTAATGTTGCATTATACTTGCTTCGTCGTCCTATATAATGAATCATTTGACAAGTGTTTAATCCAAGAATAGTCCGATCATTCTATGACCAACCTTAGTGGACTGCAACACAGACGGATGTGCTTGTGCAGATTAATAAGGAAGCAAGGTATCAGAAGGAATCGACTAGGCCGAGGCAGGGTGAGTGTGTTGGTGGCTCTTACGAAAGTCAAATAAGGGAGATGAGCTCTACTAACACGCACGAAAGATCAGATGATTGCCTTTTTCTGGCTGTGGTTGCTTTCGGTCCAAGAAATCAACGCTGACAAAGTTTGTAGAGACAGTCATGCATCGTTGGATCATCTCCAGCTGTATGTATATTTGTTGTGGGTCTTTATCCAACAGGAATCAGAATCCAGAGGCCTCAGTATAGAAGGATCTTTCCGTAGGCAAACATGACGCCGTTGAACAAGATTAGGTGGGTGATCGTCCTGATAGATACAGTTGATGGATCCGTAGTATCCAACTGTTTGAAATTGCGTGCACACAGGGAAAGAAAAAAAGGGAAAAAGAAACAAGGCTCGAAGCAAGTTCTTTCTTTCTAGGAAAAAAAGTCTAAGGTCTTGCAGTAAGTGGCTAATTCTAATTTTGCCGTCCCCCCACCCCGCACAAGGTCCAACTGATAACAGGAGCTTATGACCTTATGCTTCTGCACTGAACTGGTCATGATCTGTCTATTTTGTGAACCTAAACTTGCCTCTGCAACAGATAAGCCTATGTAAGGTTAGTGGTTGGCATGGCAGCACAACAAAGATCAATTAGCAAGTGAAGCTGTATTTAAGTACCAGTTGTAGTGTTCATATATACCTCTCTCTGACTGCAAACGCCAACTCAGTGGAGTCGTCATGGATCCATACCATAGGAGACAGCGGGGGCAAGTTGGCTCAAATGTGAAAGACTTCCAACTGCTGTCCTTCCTGTGTTGCCAAGCGCATATCCACTTCCACTCTTTAATTACTATTAGTTAAGTAGCAAAGAACCTTTTGTCCACCGGTGATCACTCTCCCCCTCACTCGACCGGAGAACGCTTGGAGCTCCAGAAAGACAGAGACCCATCTTTGTGTGCGCGCTGCTGCTGTCATCACTACCTCAGCCTTGCGTGTTCGCCACGAGACGATACAGCCCAACTGCTCCCGGAGACTCGTTTCAACAAGAAAACTGTTTCTGAGGCTCCATATTTGATAGGCACTGCAGTGCTTACGTAAGGAAAAGGCTTTACAACCATAAATACACCAACGCTTTCTTCTCTCCTCTCATTGCTTCCATTCCGTGCGTTCTACTGCATCTCACGACCTTTTCCTGAGTGAAACATCCCGCAACGTTTTCGTCTTCTGCTTCCGTTTAGACATGAAGAGATGTGGAGACGGAGAGGAAGGAGATCAGATGGAGAGCGTCAACGTGGCTAACGTTCTCGTGCTTCTCTCTCGTGGCAGCAGCGGCGGAGAGGAGATCATCGACATCTCGTCACGGCAATCTCCGGTCCGTGTTTTCGCGTGCAAGACCTGCAACCGCCAGTTCCCGTCCTTCCAAGCGCTCGGGGGCCACCGGGCGAGCCACAAGAAGCCGAGGCTCGCGGCGGACCGCCAGGGTCAGGTCCATACGGAGCTCGCGAAGCCGAGGGTGCACGAGTGCTCCGTTTGCGGCCTCGAGTTCGCCATCGGCCAGGCCCTGGGCGGCCACATGAGGCGGCATAGAGCCGCCGCTCCGCAGGCCCTCACGGGGAAGAAGCCCGAGGACAAGAGGACCTTGTGGTTGGACCTGAACATGCCACCGTCGGAGGGAGACGGTGACTACCGGAAGAAGATTTTTGGGTTCGAGCTCGCGGACACAACTCCTTCTATGGTGTTGGACTGCTTTCATTGATCGATCCGCCTATACCTCTGTCTTAATTCCTCGTCTTCTCTCTTGTCGTTCACCACATCTGTGGGATGAATACTAGGCGTGTTTTGAGCTTTTTGATGATTGCTGTTCGAAATTTTATTGATCTTACTGACTATTAATGGATCACGAGCCGGTCATGATGAGAAGATTTTGTACAGTATATTGCCTCTGTAATCTGGGTTGTGAATGGAACCCTTCATTTCGACGGTGAAAAGCCAGCAGAGGAAGTTTGACTCCGCTTCATACGTAGTGGTATGACCTAAACAAAAGTTGGAAGTGGTGTGCAGTGGTTGCAGAGCGGTCCATAGGTTTGAAGTTTAACGAGTTAATGTAGGTGGTGAATGGGACGGGGAAGTGATCGAGCTTGCCTGCGACTTTCCTCTCTGCTCACTGTGGCAACCTCAAGATGCACACGGACCACTCTCGTCATGCAAGTGCAGGGAACACGCCATGGCGTGGAACTCACGTCCCACGACCTCGTGTGCATGCAGGGCGAGAGACTCCCACGTCTCATCGGCCTCGACATAATTTAAGCTCTCGACCACCATGGGAGCGCCTTAAAGCCCAAAATTGGCGACTAAGCCTGGCCCGAATCGGCAGGCGATCGAGGACGACGACAAACATGCTGCCGCTACACTTCCGTGTGTATTCTGCAGGTCTGCACTCCCATAGCAAGAAGAACAGAGTACAAGTGCCTCAAACCACTGCCGTGCAGCATCCACAAGCTTCGGATGTCATCACGAAGAAAAAAGAGGCCGGCTGAAACGTTGAGGAAAAACGAGCACTGCCAGCGGCAGAATCGCCCAAAAGGCCGGACAAGTATATGTCTGATTCATCGTCTTAAACAGCCCACGCAGCTGCCATTATTTGGCGGTAGAGCTATCAGGTTGTCCTCATCCAATCCATAAGAACATTTGAAGCCTGTTCTTCGATCAATGGTGGTGGCAAAGAGCCTCCACCCTCGAGCAACTCAGAGGAGAATCTAGCAAACATGATATACTATCTAGTTTGGGTTGGTTGATCAGAAAGAACTCCGTTGATCTTTTAAGAAGACATTTTTTGTTTTATTCTCATACACCAAGATTCAATTTCTCAAAAAGACTGGGCGATGATGATTCTGACACAAACATTATAAGACGGTGATGGTAGAACAAACTTAAATGTGCTGATACCATGGAGCTATTGGTTCAAGCGATACAACTAATTCCCCACCAAACATTTGATGATCATGAAATGGTTCCACCAAGAACACACGGGTCAATCACACAACAAGCATATTCTCCAACAACAATGCCATAGGCCATAGATTAAGCAGCAAGAACAACTTTTAGTATAAAATGTACCGATGATGAACTAACTCATTTGAGTCTTTGCTAATGATCACAGCCATTGACAAGAAGGGGGGAAGCCTCCAAAACAAGATAATTTGTGGGATTTGTTGTGCATTATAAGGCAAATTTGTTTGATATGATGTTATCTGGAAAAGAATTTATAGAATTATTCTTCCGGTGGAGAGAAGGATGAACATATGAGAGGAGATGGATCATTGCAGAACACGATCAGAGGGAGAGGGAGCCACTCCAAGCCTCAAACGAGGAGAGTCGGTGGCTAATTCCCAGTGGGGCAGAAGGACCTCTCATGATGGATACCTTTGTTTAGGACATGATACTGGCATTTGTCTTCAACAAAGCATGTCTACTTATCTTATGGTGATCAGTGACAGAGATGGTGGGGTTTCCCAAAGCCAATGACAATAAGCATCCTAAAATTCTTGTTTACTTTGTTTAATCTTTATGATGGAATTTGGAGCAGAGTCCATGTCTGACTCTACCAAGAACAAAAGAAGTGCCTGTTCTTGGCGTTTCCATGGACATATATTCTTGTTAGGTGGAACAGATTGGATTGGATCGGATTGATGCTAAATCGTGCACACTAATTATTTAAAGTTGTAATCAAAATGTATAAAAATATTTGCTTTCTTCTTCTTCTTCTTCTTCTCTTCTCATCGGTTTATCTCACATTGCAAGTCTTGCAATCATTGGGACATGGAGGAAATCCCTCTCGCGTACTGTTGTACAGCAACACGTCCTTGAATCGTGATGTAGTTATCGAGAAATCGACAGGGGGAAAAAATTATGGACCGAGTTCACCGAGAATCCCTCTTCGTAATATTTTTCTCTCTGATATAAAGCCTTCAACAATGACGGAAGTGGGCACCGGAGATTTCCCCAGCCACTCGTTGTTTGCTGTTGGTGTCATCCCGAGAGTGCTGCCAATTGGATGTTTGTCCTGAGGGATTACTTTCATCCCTGAATCCGATCGACGTTTTTCTTTGATCGAAAACGAACCCTCCATGATATGGACTTTGGGTACGATGAACGATACTCCCAATTCATTGTGTTTGGTTTCACTGAAAATGGACTTTGGTGGACTGCAGTACTCCCGCATCATCATCATCATCATTTACGAGTGAGCAATCGAGAAGAAGACGCCAATTATTTGATTTGACGGCGTAGGACTGGGCTCGAGCGAATGGCGAGCAACCAAACACGCTTGCTGTTGTTAGTGTTCTCCAAACCCGTGGCTAGAGAGAGAGAGAGAGATGATGCGAGGAAGGCCGAGGTCACGATTGTCAGGTGCTCCAATGCATTCGTCGAGTTCAGATGCATTGGACTGCGTTGTGGAAAACATAATTGTCATGATCTGCTCACCCTTACTCGTTACAATGTTATCACCGCTAAAAATTCTAAACATGATATTTGACATAATACTTGTGTATGTTCATGTTTTCTATTTGTTCATACTTTACCCAGCATATAGAGGAACGGTCGAAGGCTTAACAATCATATTTTAGTTAGATTTAATGGTCTTTTTAGGCTTATACATATATTGTGTCATGTAGAGATATTCGGTCTGTGGTGGACCATTTTGACCATTTATTGTGTAATTATTTAAAATTTGTAAAGTCTGTTTGTAATTTACATTATCTATGATGTGTTTTTGGAAATGTTTGCTTGTGGATCTCGAGTAAGACGTTTTCTCTAACCCGTTTTCTCTTTTGTAGGTCCTAAGGGACCATTGGAGGCTTCGAGGAGACTAATCTTTACGAATGGATATGCATAGATGCCGCACGACTTAGGCAAAACCAGCTAAATCTGTAACATATGATATCTAGGGGG